TTCTTGGCAGAGTCGACACTTGCTGTTAGCACTAATTCCTTAGATCTTAGCTTTCATCATGTTGCTTTGGAGTGCCCGTTCTTGTGCACCAAGAATCAAGCCTTTGGTTTCTTTTTTCATGGCCCCCAGTTTTATCCATGTCCATGTTGAATTATTATGATGCTTTCCATCAGTATTTCTCAAGTCCATGTAGAGGTTCATTTTTCCAACTGTTCAATTTATTTTCAGATTGTTATTTCTTTTATTGAGCCTTTGTTTCTGTGGTTTTCAAAAAATATTTTCCATTTGCACTGCCTTAAGTAATTTTTCTGTACTTGTACTTATATAATAATTTGGGCTTCTTTTTTTCCTCCTCTACTACCTGCTGTAAATGCAGTAATCCACATCCTCCGATTTTTTATGGTAAATATAATCTGTCCACATCACTTTCTGGATGTAGCATATGATGCATGTTCATTAGTTTCAATGTTTTTAAATCCAGTTCTTCTCATTTGTTTTGAGTCCAACCTATTATTCCAGCTGGATATCTAATTACTGGAACTGCCTTTATGTTTATCGCTTTGATTGTATTTCCATCATTTAATTTTGATTTAAAGATTTTCCACAATCTTTTGATATATTCCCTTTCTGTCAGTTCTTTAACTTTTGTGTGCCCTGCTTCTAGTATTATTCCATGGTACTGTATTTATAATTTTCATCAATTCATAGTGATTTTATAATATTGCCATTTTTAATTCTATTCCATCTAATTTTTGAATCTTGCTGCACATTTGTCAATTCAAAATTTCATTTGGATGTCTTCACTAAATATTTGTACTGTATTTAGCAGTGATTCTTTCTCTGTGGAACTTTTTGCATATAGTTTCAGGTCATCCATGTAGAACAGATGATGGATTTTTCCTGCTTCTTCTGAAATGTGGTAGCCCAATCCAGTTTTTTAAATAGTGAGATGTTGAACAGCAGTGGTGACAAAGAATCCCCCTGAAACATTGCTCTTTTGATGCTTATTTTCCCCAACTTCTTCACCATGGACCATTAAGACAGTTTTCAATTTTTCAAAAAAAATTTTTTAGGAACTTCTTAATGTTTTTACTAATCGCAAATATTTTGTGGCAATGGGTCAAATGCCTTCTTAGTCTATTCAGGCCACATTAAGGTTTGTTTTTAGCCTTTTTGTATTCTTCAGTATCATTTTATCAATAAGCAGCTGATCTTTCATGCCTCTTGACTTTTTAAAGTTTCCTTTCTGTTCAGTTGGGTTTAGGAAGTTTTCAGTTAAGTAATTATATACTGCTCTTGCAAGTCCTCCTCACTTTCTGCCATCAGAGTGGTATCATCTGCATATCTGAGGTTGCTGATATTTCTTCCGGCAATCTTAATTCCGGCTTGGGATTCCTCCAGTCTTGCCTTTCGCATGATGTATTCTGCATATAAATTCAATAAGCAGGGGGACAATATACAGCCTTGACATACTCCTTTCCCAATTTTGAACCAATCAGTTGTTCCATATCCAGTTCTAACTGCTGCTTCCTATCCCACATATAGATTTCTCAGGAGATAAATAAGGTGGTCAGGCACTCCCATTTCTTTAAGAACTTGCCATAGTTTGTTGTGGTCCACACAGTCAAA